CTCATTGTAGTTTTGATTTGCATTTCTTTGATAGTTAGTGAGGCTGAGCATTTTTTTTCATGTATCTGTTGGCTGCTTGTATGTCTTTTGAGAATGTCTGTTCATATCTTTTGCCCACTTTTTAATAGGGCTGTTTATTTTTTTCTTTTTTGTACGTTTGAGTTCCTTGTAGATCCTGGATGTTAGGATGTTTGCCAGATACACAGTTGGCAATTATTTTTTCCTGTTCCGTGGACTGTCTCACCACTCTCTTCATGGTTTCTTTTGCTTTGCAGATGCTTTTCAGTTTAATGAGGTCCCACTTGTCTGTCTTATTTCTTATTTCTTATGGCATGGGCATTTGGGATTTTGATCTGGAATTGGTTGCCTATTCCAATTTCTGTAAGGGTGTCTCCTGTGTTTTCGAAGATTCTTATAGTTTGAGGTTTTATGTTTAGGTCTTTGATCCAAATATTTAAAGTTGGTTTTTTATGTATGGTGATAGGTAGGGGTCCTGTTTCATTCTTTTACGGTTTTTTATGTATGGTGATAGGTAGGGGTCCTGTTTCATTCTTTTACATGTGGTCAGCCAGTTTTCCCAGCACCATTTACTGAATAGGTTCTCCTTTCCCCAGTGGTTGTTGTTGGATGAGTTGGTTGAGAAATTGAGGTTTGGCTTCTGGAATCTCTTTCTTGTTCCATTGGTCTATGTGCCTGTTTTTGTACCAATACCAGGCTGTTTTGATTAGTGTAGCCTTATAATAAAGTTTCAAGTGCAGAAGTGTGATATCTCCTGCTTTGTTTGTTTTGCTGAGGATTGTTTTGACTATTCATAATCTTTTATGTTTCCATATGAATTCCTGTATTGTCGATTCCAGGTCTGAGAAGAATGGTGGTCACTTCATGGGTATTGCTTTGAATCTGTAGATTGTCTTGGATGGATAGCTTAACAATGTTGATTCTTCTAATCCATGGGCATGGAATATTTTTCCATTTGTTTGTGTCTTCTGTGATTTCTTTTTGAGCAGTGTTTTGTAGTTTTCATTGTAAAGGTCTTTAACTTCTCTGGTTAGGAAAATGCCAGGATATTCCTTTTTGTCGTTGTTGTTACTATTGTGAATGAAATTGTGCTTTCTGTTTGGTTCTCTGCCTGTTTGTTGTTGTTGTGTAAAAATGTGACTCTTTTGCACGTTGGTTTTGTACCCTGATAAACTGCCAAAGTATTTTATCAATGCAAGGAGATTTTTGACAGATTCCCTTGGGTTTTCAAGGTATAAGATCATATCATCAGCAAAGAGGGATAACTTAGCTTCCTCTTTTCTTATTTGGATACCCCTGATTTCCTTCTCTTGTCTGGTTGCTGTGACTAGGACTTCCAACACTAGGTTGAAGAGGTGGGGTGAGAGCTGGCAGCCTGATCTTGTTCCAGTTTTCAGGGGAAATGAGGAAGCATCATTTTGTTTTTAAAGCCCTAAAGTCACAAGCATGGTTCAGAAATTTCATTATTCTCATGCGTAAAGTTTATTTTTTAATTCCCATGAATAGATTTGCGGCTAAAATTGTCTTAGTTTATTTTCTTGCTGACAGTTGAACAAATAGAGGTTTTTTTTAATATTCAGTTTTGTCTTGATATAGGAACACAAAATTGGTTTGTTTTTATTTTAAAGTCTACCTTAAAAATTTTGGAATGGTAGCATACCCGGAGGGTAATGTACATGGAAAAATTTTATATGGAAAGCATAACTGCTGTCACATGGTATTTTATTTAGAAATATTTCAAACTTACAAAAAGATATCAAGAACAATACAAAGAACACCCATAATACCTTTATCCAGAATCACCTATTGTTTCGTTTGTTTTGGGTTGGAGGTCTTACTGTCACCCAGGCTGGAGTGCAGTAGCATGATCTTGGCTAACTGTAGCCTCGACCTCCTGGGTTCAGGTGATCCTTCCACCTCAGCCTCCTGAGTAGCTAGGACTACAAGCACACACCATCATGCTGGGCTGGCTTGCTTATGTATGTATGTATGTATGCATGCATGCATGTATGTAGAAATGCTTGCTATGTTGCCTAAGCTGGTCTTGAACTCCCTAGGCTCAAGCAGTGCTCCCACCTCAGCCTCCTAAAGTGCTGAGATTATAGCAGTGAGCCACCTTGCCTGGCCCAGACTCACTTGTTAACTTTTGCCCCCATTGTTTTATCATTTGCTTGTGCACATACGCTCTGTCAGATAAATAGATTGATGTTTTATTTTCGGAACCATTTGCATATAAATTGCATATATTATGGTCTTTTACCCCTTAATATTTCAGTCTAAGATCACTTATTGCATTTAGTTTTCATGTATTTGTAGCCTTTTTCACTCTATAATCTCATTTCCTCGGTCTTTTCCTCTCTTGACTAACATTTTGAAAGAATGCAGTCCTTTTTTATTAGTTATCTGTCTTTCCCTTTCCCCCTTTTCTTTGTCTCCATCCCATCCTCTCCTCCCCTCCTCCAGCAGAATAGAATGTTCTTTATTTGTGCCTTGACTGGTGTTTCCTTATGGTTAGATTCATGCTATGCAGTCCTACTTGCAATATTGCTTAAGTGATGTTGTGTTTTTCTTGGACTACCACAGCCAAAGGCTCATGGTGTTCACCTGTTATTCATTTATGTTGTTAATTCTAGTCAAGGTGTTACCTGACTTCTCCACTGTATAGTTACTGTTTTCTTTTTTCTTGCAACTGCTAAGTAGTCTGCATTGAAACAAAAGTACTGCCCCTCTTTAAAATTTTTCTCCTATTTTGAGCAAAACAATAATTTTGCATTGTTTACTGGATTATTTTTTAGCTGTAAATTCCATTTTAGATTTGATTGCTTTGATTTTAGGTCCATCTATAGCTTTTAAGTTCCGTAAGATTAGTAACTTATTGCAAACCATCCTTTTACATAAACCAATCTTTGTTGGTTTATATATAGATGCTGTGTATCTAAATACAAATAGATGGTATATATTTTAAAATATGTTAATAGGACAGTGGTTCTGTTATTTATGCATTCTTGTTCGTATGTAGGCAGAATCTGAATGGAAAAGAAAATAGATATGCATTGATACCTGAACCATGAGATTATTTGAAGACAAAGGCAATGCAAAAGGTTCATCAACAAGAATGAGAAAAATAATTCAGTGGGTCATTTTTCTGGAAAGGAATAGGGGAAAGCCGATTTAGGAGACTGTAGTGTTCAAAAATAGCTCTAATGAAAATTAGTAGGAATCAGAAAAGGTTTATGACAGACCACTGTGTTATTACAGAACAAAATCAAAATGTCAGAATCCAAATTGGGGAGAATTATTACGCATCAGAGGTCATGTGGAGATTTGACAAAGTTGTTACAGGATTTAAAGTTCATGAAATTTTATACTACCGAATGATACGAATTGCTGTGAAATAATAATACTCAGTGAAAGCACTGAAAACTGTGCCTTCTAGTAGGTATAGTGGGAAGCCGGGAAACTCAGGTTCTAACCTAAAGCCTGAGTGGCCAGTTTTGCCACTGATAATTAGTGATATGGTCAGAGCAAGTAAGATGGGAGGTCTCTGAATTTCCTTCCTGCTTTTGCCTTTTTTGCGTTTATTTCTTTGGTCTTCTCTAGCAGTGATCACTTGTGTCAAAGAGCAGCAGTTTCTAGATTAACAGAGAGTTGAACTTTGTTTTGCTGGATATTGGAATTTTCACCATTCATAGCTAACTATTTAGTTTAGTTGTTCTATCACAGTCACCTTAGTTTTTCTCAGTTTTTACAGTGTGAGAAATATGAGATTCATTTTATTCTGTCATTTTTCCTTAATAGTGTTTCCTATAAATTTTGCTTCTAGGATCTGACTAATAAACTTATTTTTGACTGTTTTGGATGTTTTTGGAGCAGAGGATCAAATTGATTAATGCTCTGATTTTTATGGCCATGTAGTTTTTCCCTTTACATTAGTTTTATTTTTATTTCAGTGGGCCCTTTCTCTTTTTCCTTACTCTTTAAGTTATATGATGCAATTAAAGAATCCACGAGACATGCTTCATATCATTTTGTATGGTATTATTTAAAGTATGAAAGAAAATGGATGAGAGAAACCTAGCCCCCACCACTGATTCATGTCATTTCTGCCATTTGTTTTATTTTCCAGTTTTTTATGCATAAAATAGCAATAAAAAGCCACAAAGGATAGCTGTGAGAATCAAATCATTTTGATAGAGATCTTCTATCCAGTATGCATCTCAGACCTTTTTTTAATACTCATAAAAGTGTGTGCTGGTTATTACTTCAAATATTTAATGTGGACAGTATTCATATTATTATCTAAGGTAATTGTCTTGATATAAAATAAAACGGCTTTTCAAAGGAGAGTTATAGTATAAAATATATCACTTGTTATCCTAATATTATTAGGGTATTAGTAATAGTAATAAAAGTCAGAATTAGAAAGCTTAAGCAACTATTCCATTTCAAATTTTGGTGCCTAAACAATATATAATATGAACATTTGTATTCAACTCTTTAAATTCTTACCTTAAAAATTACATTAGACACAGATCCATTTTTGTTTTTAGAAGATTCAAACTAATTCAGATATATATGCATATAGGGCAAAAGGTCAAAAGGGGCCCTTTTAATCTCCTTAACTTTTCTTGCAAAGATACATTGATATGCAACTTTATATCATATTACAGCCCGAGCCATATACCTTAATATATTAAGGTACTAGTTGGTAGTACTGAATTTTTTTTAATAACCAAAAATCTTTTTGAAAAGTTAAAAAAGAGCACACAGGATAATGTAAAACATTTGTGCTCATCACTCTAAATTGTTGTTTTTCACTAATTTTTTAAAAAGAATAAAGCATAAAGTTGACATCCCCAGTAGTATTTAAAACAATGTAAAGATTGTATGCATTTTAAAATCTATGAAAATTACATTATTCTGTATGTATCCTATTCAACTTGTATTTTCTATTCCATAGTTAGGTCATTAGTAGATAGAGTCTATTGACATTGAGATTCTGAATATCTAAAATTTTCAGATATTCTTTAAAAATTGTTCTTTCAATTATAGGAGATATTTAAGTGTGTACATCAGGAAAATTTTAACTGCATTCTAAAAAAATAAGTTCCTGAGATTTCCTTTCAACAATACTTTTGAAACACAGATAAAATTACTTCCTGTCTCTCAGTTTCCTGTATCCATGGCAACCTCTGTTTTACACACTGACTGTAAAGGAACCAATGTGAAGAGTGGTGTTTCCTGAGCAAACCCTGGCTTAAAAAGTGAAAAAAAAAGGTGGAGGGGTGGAGGTCAGCAGTGCCACAGAAAGAAATGGAGTGTAGAAATGTCGCTCTTCAGACTTTAAAAAGAAAACTTGTACTGGAATCAGCTGATTGTTAGAAATATGAATTTCCTGTTCTTGGTAAGATGATTTAAATATGAACTTTTAGCTGAAATGAAAACTAGTTTTGTGAAAATCTGTAGTTTAGAATTTAACTGTTCTGTAGTGAGTTTGTATTTTCATATATAATGTTATTTGATATTAGACTTTTAAGTTGGTAAAGGGACATATTAAATCCAAAGATTATCATCCCTATATTATTTGTTACCTTTGTTATGATCAACTGTAATATTTAAAATTAGCTTAGCAAACATTTCGTTTTACAGTTCATTACATATGAGTTATTTTGTCGAACAGTGGGTTAATGGCCTGGAGGTGTTAATAATTCTAGAGCATATTCCATACTCATTGTTTCATATTAACACCATAGTATGATTTATGATATTTAGTATTATTGGCTGATCCTAATTAAAACAGAATAGAGAAGTTATAGTATTATAAAAACTTTCACTTTAAGAAGTTCCGATGATTTAAAGTTTTACCTTCTCTTTTTGTAGCCAATTCTGATATGAGCAGAAAAACCAGGGATATGTGTGGATTACAGTTTTCTCTGCCCTGCCTACGACTGTTTCTCCTTGCTACCTGTTATCTCGTATTATTATTCCATAAAGAGATACTTGGATGCTCGTCTGTTTGTCAGCTCTGCACTGGGAGACAAATTAACTGCTGTAACTTAGGCCTTTCAAGTATTACTAAGAATTTTCCTGAAAGTACAGTTTTTCTGTAACTGACTGGAAATAATATATCTTATATAAATGAAAGTGAATTAGCAGGACTTCATTCTCTTGTAGCATTGTATTTGGATAACTCTAGCATTCTGTGTATATACCCAAAAGCCTTTGTTCAATTGAGACTGCTATATTTTCTATGTCTAAATAATAATTTTATGAAGCGCTTGGATCCTGGAATATTTAAGGGACTTCTGAATCTTCATTATTTATATTTGCAGTCTAATCAAATATCTTTTGTTTCAAGGGGAGTATTTAATGATCTAGTTTCAGTTCAGTACTTAAATCTACAAAGGAATCGCCTCACTGTTCTCGGGGGTGGTACCTTTGTTGGTATGGTTTCTCTTCGGATACTTGATTTGTCAAACAACAATATTTTGAGGATATCAGACTCAAGCTTTCAAAATCTTGGAAACCTTGTATGTTTGTATCTAGCAGGCAATAATTTAACAAAAGTACCTTCAAATGCTTTTGAAGTACTTAGGAATCTTAAAAGACTTTCTTTGTCTCATAATCCTATTGAAGCTATACAGTCCTTTGCATTCAAAGGACGTGTCAACTTGGAGTATCTCCTCCTGAAAAACTCAAGAATTAAAAATGATACTAGGAATGGGTTTAGTGGAATTAGTAACCTTAAACATTTGGTCTTAAGTCATAATGATTTAGAAAATTTGAATTCTGACACATTTAGTTTATTAAATAATTTAATTTACCTTAAGTTAGCTAGAACCCGAATAATTAGCATTGATAGTGATACAATTGAAAACATGGGAGCATCTTTGAAGATTCTTAATCTGTCATTTGATAATCTTACAGACTTACATCCAAGGGTCCTTAAACCACTGTCCTCACCGATTCATCTTCAGGCACTTTCTAACCCTTGGGAATGTAACTGCAAGCTTTTGGGCCTTCGAGACTGGCTATCATCTTCAGCCATTACTCTAAACATCTCTTGTCAGAATCCCCCATCCATGCTTGGCCAAGCATTATGTTATATTAAGTGGACTGACATTACAAATTGCATTATCTCTTCAGCAAATGTTTCCAGAGCTTGGGCTGTTGTAAAATCTCTTCATATTCATCACAAGACTACTGCAGTAATGATGGCCTGGAATAAAGTTACCACCAATGGGAAACATTTGGAAAATACTGAGACTGAGAGTGTCACTTTTTGGGAACGAATTCGTACTTCACCTGCCAGTAGATTTTTTCAAGAAAACACCTTTGGTAACCCACTAGAGACTACTGCAGTGTTACCTGTGCAGATACAACTTACTTCTTCTGTTAACTTGGACCAGGAAAAAAACAGTGCACTACCGAATGATGCTATTTCAGTGTCAGGAAAAACATCTCCAGTTTGTACACAAGAAGTTGAAAAATTGAATGAGGCTTTTGACATTTTGCTAGCTTTTTTCATCTTGGCGTGTGTTTTAATCATCTTTTTGATCTACAAAGTTGTTCAGTTTAAACAAAAACTAAAAGCACCAGAAAACTCAAGGGAAAACAGACTTGAATACTACAGCTTTTATCAGTCAGCAAGATATAATGTAACTACCCCAATTTGTAACACTTCCCCAAATTCTCTTGAAAGCCCTGGTTTGGAGCAGATTCAACTTCATAAACAAATTGTTCCTGAAAATGAGGCACAGGTCATTCTCTTTGAACATTCTGCTTTATAACTCAACATGACACTGGCTATAAGAAACTTAGTCTTGGACATAAGTAAGCCCTCCTTATAGAATCATAGACTTCATTTGGAAATATAATTATTCGAGTTTAGCATTATTAAAATGTATGTTTTTAATAGTTTGTGAATAGTGTATTTATTCAACAAATATTTTCTTCGGTAAATACTTTATTAAAGTAACGCTAATGGCTAACATTTCTGTGTATCAAACACCATGCTAAATATTTTACATATCACATTTACATATCACATTTAATCCACAAACAGTCTGTAAGACAGTACTATCTACATTTGCTAGTTAAGGAAACAGGCAGAGAGAGTTTAAGTAACGATCACAAATATTCACAACTTGTGACACTTTCTAAGTCTGACTAGAGCTCATGCTTTTAATGTCACATTATATTGCTGCCTAGGTGCCAGGATTATGATTGTGAAAAACCCACTTGGTTCCTATTCTAGGTAGAGCCTAGATTCTAAAGGAGGAGACACATAGTCACTGCACAGTATGGAAGGTTCTGTACTTGGGGATGATGTGGAGGTGAGAGATGACTTCGTGAAAAAAGTGACATCAAAATTAGATCATAAAAGATAGAAATTAGCCCAGTGAAGAGAGCTGAATAACACCATGACACAAGGGTTAAAGAAAGAGAAAGAATACTACTTTTCAGGAATTAAAATTCAGTTCAGCTGGAATTGTGAGGGGTCATGTGAAATTTAAAGCTGGAGGGAGAGAGCAGATGATGGAAGCAGTTGTAATTTTATGCTTTATCCTGAGGGCTACAGGGAGCCATTGAAGGATTTTAAGCAGTAGAGTAAAAATGATCAAATTTAACCTTTGGAAACTTTGCTCTTTCTGGAAGGAGCAATAAGACTGGAGGCAGGATTTGTTGTGTAGGAATCTGAATCACCACTCCAGGGGAAGAATGCTGGAGACCTGGGACAGGTTAGTATCAGAGAGGATGGGTGGCTCAAGAGCTACGTTGGAAGTAAAATAAACTGCCTTGGTGATTGGCTGAGGGTCACAGAGGAAGAAGGTTTAGGCAGTTTTGTGCTACACTCACTGAGTTAAGGAAAGAGGAGGAATAGAGATATGGGTGGGACAAATTACTGAGTTCTGTTTCAGATAGATGGACTTTGAGGCTTATATTAGATCTTATATTAGATCTTCAAGTAGAAATAATATAGCAAGCAGGTATTCAGGAGAGAGGTCTATCTGGTAAAGACCAGTAATTCTTAATCTTGTATTTATCCAGTACTCATTAATATACAATGTATTCTTTACAGTAACAATAATCACTTGGGGCATGGTTTGGGGAGATAGGTAAGTGGGAGAAGAATAAGACTTTGTAGAAGATGAAGGAACCTCAGGGGATATTAGTAGCCTCGGCTGAGAATCTTTACTATAGATGGTAATAGAAGTCATGGAAGTAATGTAATATTTTTCTCTATTGGCATACATTTATACTTGTGTGGCAGTGTATTCTGCAGAATATTTGACATTGTAGTAAGTACCCATTATTGTCAATTCATTAATAGTGGCCTGAACCACAAATATACATTTAAAATTTTCTCTTATGTATTATGCTTTTCACGTTTGTGTCTGTCCTTCTTCTTTCCCCAAATTTGTATTTTTTATTGCTTAAAAATGCTCTCCGTAATGAAGTTATTCTGAAACATGTTATCTGGGAGTGGTTAAACCAGGGGATAATTGTTAAATTTATATTGTGAAAGAAAAATAATTGTTAGGAAGTGCTATGTTGTTTGTTAAACCTTAAGACAGTGTTTTTCAAATTCAGAATCAGCTGGAAGCCTCGTTAAAGCACAGTTTGCTGCCCCTGATACCTACCCCTATAGAATTCTTTTTTTAGTTAAAAAAATTTTATTGATATGTAATATTTGTACACATTTATGTAGTACATGTGATTTTGTTGTTGATACAAGGATGGAACGTATAATGACCAAGTCAAGGTATTTGGGATATCCATTACTATTTATCATTTCCAGGTTCTGAGAGCATTTCAAGTTTTTTCTTCTAGCTATTTTGATACATACAATACATTGTTATTAACTATAGTCACTATACTCTGCTATCGAACATCAGAACCTCTTTCTTCTAACTGTATTTTTGTACCCATTAACTAGCCTATCTTTATCTCTCTTTCCCTTACTACCCCAGACAGTCACACATACTCTTTCCAGTCTCTAATATCTATCATTCTACTCTCCACCTCCATGCGATTAACTTTTTTTAGCACCCACATATGAGTGAGGACATATATTTGTCTTTGTTTGCCTGGCTTATTTCCCTTAACATAATGACAGTCCATGTTGCTGTACATGAAATGTTTTATTCTTTTTTATGGCTAATAGTATTTCATCGTGTGTGTGTATGTGTATCGTGCATTTTCTTTATTTGTACTTCCATTGATTCCATATCTTTACTATTGTGAATAGTGCTGTAGTAAACATCAGAGTGAGGTATCCCTTGTTGTACTGATTTTTTGTTTATTTATTTATTTATTTAAAGACAGGGTCTCACTCTGTCAACTAGTTGGAGTGCAGTAGCATTATCGTGGCTCACTACAGCCTTGAATTCGTGGCCTTAAGTGATCCTCCTGCCTCAGTCTCCCTATAGCTGGGACTGCAGGTGTGCACATCATGCCTGGCTAATTTTTAATTTTTTTTATAAAAACAAGGTCTCTGTATGTTACCTAGGCCGATCTCAAACTCCTATCCTCAAGTGATTCTCCTGCCTCGTCCTCCCAAAGCACTGGAATTGATTTCTTTTTCTTTGAATAAATGCCCAGTAGTGGGATAGCTGGATTGTGTGGTAGCTGTATGTTTAGTTTTTTTGAGAAATCTCCATACTGATTGCTGTACTACTTTATATTCCCATCAACAGTGTATAAGAGCTCTGTTTTCTCTGTGTCCTCACCAGATCTGCTATTTTTTGGTCTTTTTAATAGTGGCCATCCTGACTGGGATAAGATGATACCTCACTTTAGTTTCAGCTGCATTTCAAATGCAATTAGTGATTAGTGATACTGAGCATTTTTTTCATATACCTGTTGACTGTTTATATGTCTTCTTTTGAGAAATGTTTATTCATATCCTTTGCCTCCTCTTTAATGGGATTATTTATTTATTGGTTTATTTATTTGGGAATGGAGGCTCCAAGTCTCATTCTGTCGTCTATACTGGAGTGCAGTAGAATGATCATGGTTCACTGCAGCCTTGAAATCCTGGACTCAGGTGATCTTTCTTCCTCAGCCTCCTGAAGAGCTGGGAATATAGGTGCATGCCACCATGCTGAGCTAATTAAAACTTATTTTTGGAGAGGCGAGATCTTCTGTGTTGCCCAGACTGGTCTCAAACTCCTAGGCTCAAGAGATCCTCCTACCATGACCTCCCAAAGTGCTGGGATTACAGGCATGAGCCGCCGTGCCTATTCATCTTATGTATTTTTGTTTGGCTGCTGAGTTATTTGAATTCCTTGTGTATTCTGGATATTAGTCTCATGTTGAATCAATCGTTTGTGAATATTCTTCCATTCAGCATGTTGTCTCTTCACTCTGTTGATTATTTCCTTTGCTGTGCACAAGCTTTTTTATTTAATGTAGTCTCATTTACCATTTTTATTTTTGTTGCCTGTGCTTTTGAGGTCTTAGCTATAAAAATCTTTGCCTAGATCAATGTCCTAAAGTGTTCTTTATGTTTTCTTCTAATAGTTTTATAGTTTGGGGTCTTAGGTTTAAGTGTTTAATCCAACTTGAGTCGATGTTTTTCTCCTTGAAAGACATTTTTAAAATGTTTTTCTGTTTTTTGTTGTATTCTCCCACCTCCAACAACTCCAATTAAGTTTTTTCTTTAATTACTAAAAATACATGTTCATTGAGGGGAAATGTAAACAATGCAAAAATACATAAAGTTAAAGATGAAAACCTCTCATGCCTAAATCATATCTTCTTAAAGATATTCAAGGTTATTGGCTGGGTGCAGTAGCTCACACCTGTAATCCTAGCACCTTGGGAGGTTGAGGTTGGAGGATTGCTTGAGCTCAAGAGGTTGAGGCTGTGGTAAGCTATGATTACTCCACTATACCCCAGTCTGGGCAACAGAGTGAGACTCTGTCTCTTTTAAAAGAAGAAAAAGAAAAAAAAAACTGCTTTATTTGAGCACTCAAAAATAGACAGGCTCTAATTTAAAATGATTGTGTTTCAGAAGAATAGAATTCATTTTTTCCATTGAGTATTGCAAATTGTGGTTAAAGTTTCAGAGCGTACCAAAAGTCTTTTTCTCCCCATAACAAATGGCAAATATTAGAAATAATACTATAAGTTAAAATGTGTATGACTTTAGATCCATTGTGGAATTTTAAAAACATCTCTCATTTCTGGAATGGATATCTATATGATAGAGACATTTGGTGTCAAGTTGTTAGCTAGGGCTTCAGTGGTAATAGGACAGTGACTTTAACAGGAGTGATCAGGAAATAGAAGATGGTCACAGGTGATAGAGGGGAGGTCTGGTAAAGAAGACCACGGTGTCTTTTAGTCTTTGGAAGTGAAGGATTGCCATGTTTTGATAGCTAGAGAGTACATGGTGAGGAGAGGTAAGGGTAGCCATTGCAGGAGAGTGAGGAAGTTGTGTAGAACTTAGGAATGGTAGGGAAGGAGGATCTGTGGATACCTCTTTGTTCTCCCTCAACCTTTTACTCTTAGTAGAGGCCTGGACTTCCTCATACACAAAGTTATAGACTTACTTTGTTGATCTGCTCTGCCTCATGGCCATCAGTGTCTTTGGAGTTAGTAGCAGTTGGACAGAGTTTTGTTCTCTACTTTGCTATTGCCTTGTGTATTTTATTTTTAGGAATTTTTCAAGTAGTAGGAGAATTTCATCAGACCCCACCTACATCAGTGTTAATGCATGGCAAATACAAGCCCTAAAAACATTTTTTTAAGTTTTATTAGTATAGTTCAAAATCATATACAGAAGTAGACACACCAGTATAACCACTATTCAGACCAAGAAACAGAACATTCAAACATAACATATACATAGATATTTCTTGAGCTCAGGAATTATATAAACACTTAAGTGTTTAAGCTTTGCTATGAAG